ATGACATCTGCAGGGGAAACTTCAAATTTCGAACATGAATTCACATTGTATTCACTGTTTTCCCGACCAAAGACAGTCTAGATCTTGGTAAAACTTAGGAATGGTCGCTGTGAAGATGATGGCATGTAGCTCTGTGACGTTTCAGATGGAAATTATCAACACTTGCTGTAGATGAACCCTCGTAGAAAATTGACTGCTGTTAACAGTTTGCAGTATCATTGTCACAAGGTCGCCAGCTATATGAGTCAAAGATGAAACATGAATAAAATCTCTTTGTATGTGAAGGTCTCAAAGGTCAATTTCATTAGGTACAGAATGGGACATCATAGACTTCAAACATGTACCAAGTGCACCTCCAATCTGTAACAGCTCATCATCATCTCATGGTAAAGAGCAAATCGTGTTGGCTGTCAAGAGAATCGGGACAATTGCGCTCACTTTCATGCCACCAGTTCTCATTCTGTGTGGTATGATCACGTATCATCTGTTTAACTTCAAAACTGTGTCGAGCTTCAAGATCCTAGCAGATCAAGTTGCTGCAGTGGAATGATCTTCATATTCTACTCAGGGACTGCTATTACTTATGCTTATATACATCAGACAAACAAATCTTCCGTTTGGCGTCATTACCGAAGAGGTTATTTGTGTATATTGGAATTATTTTGAGCTTCTGATTCTTTGGCTCGAGGATATAATCTTATGACCAACCCCAAAATCATGTGGGGTTCACATGTCATGAAGCATCTTATGATGCATACTGGTATCTTGAAGGTGGTTCAGAAGTTGAAGTTTTGCGAGCTTGTTATGGTCGATAGACGCGCTTATTCTCTCAACTTCCGATCTTACAGTATCAAATAGACGAAGATTATCCTCTGACACAATCACTATAGAACAGCGATGTTGCTGCAATGTTCACAGACTTTGAATCCTTCAAGTACGTCTATAAATCGACTTGAATTGAGTGAATCTAACATGGAGGGGCTTTCTTGAATATCTTTGCTTATTTCTTGGAGGTTTTATCGTTCAAGGTTATATTTCTTAAATATTCATGGTTTGAAAGATTCAAGTCAGTTATTGTTTTCACGGATAAGACAGTAAGATCCCTAAACTCTAACTCGTAAGATCTTTCGTATATCTTAAAAATCAAAACTGTATACCCTTACTTTGGTACGAATTTTTCTTTATAAGCTTACAGTAATAATTTATTAATTCATATTTATTCAATTCTTTTTCAATCTATATCCACATTTTTGTTATTGAAATTTATTTGTTTCAAACAAGGTTTCTAGTAACCACTTAAAAAATAACAGTGGAAATATTTCATAAGTTATATATGCTCTCTGTCTACTCTTACTCTAGAAGAGAAGGAACATATGTATAGCTTAATTTTATATTCATCATTTAGCAAAGAGTTACCTCTTAATTTTTACACTTCATTAAAGTAGAATCAACTTCCAACACTCAAATTTAGGGTTTTTCTTACCTTTAAGGTTCAGTTAAATTTCAAAGTTTTTGCGAAAATAGACATAGTTTTTTAAATCTCAAATTTTGAACAAATAAATTTTTTATTTTTTGGAGATTTTTTTAAAATCATTACAACTTAAATTTATGAAAAAATCATATCATGAAATGATTGCTAAATATCACAAACATAGCATTTTGGTAGATATTTGCACAAAAAATTTAACCATACTACCAAATAAAGTTTGATAGAATGTCTAAATTTAGTAAAATAAGTTTTTTAAAAACCTGAGCAGATTTGTTAATTTTCTTATCTCAAAATATCATGTCATATATTTTAAATCGCCTATACCGTTGTAAAATAACCACACCAGGTTTTGCTCATTAAAAGTACTTTTTTTTGTGTCCAAAGGTCAAGCCAAACCGATTCAACGATAAGAACTAAGCTCACAAAACTCTTATTTGTTATGTTTTATATCTTGGACATGGTTTCTAATTTCAATCGAAAAATAAAATTTATGTTCAGAAACGTTTGTCGTGAAGAAAATAATAATGCTTGTTTCCAATGTTTCAGCCGAATTCATTGATAAATTTTTAAAGTATCATTAAATACTGTTAATATTATAAACATTTTCTAAATTTATTGATAAATTTAGAAATACAGAAATATGTTACATCAAAAAGTAATAATGTTACAACCTTTCATCACTAAGAAGTAGTTTACCATAAACTATATTAACTCTACTATTTTAAAACTAAAGTGAATAAATCTGAAAGTTAGAGAAAGGTTAAATATTTTCTTTCAGTCATGACTGTATTTAATTTCAAGTTGCAAACTAATATAAGCTGCTGATGAAAATATATGGTTTCATTGATTTTTATTTATGCTGAGTCACTACTCAGTACTGTTCATAGTTTTGTCATAATATTTGTTGGTATTCTATATTAATATATTGAAACAAAAGCCATATTTTATATATAATTTTCACAAATATATTATATGTTTATTTATCTTCATATTGAGACTGGGAAAAATTAATTATTTTTAATTGTAAAATAACCCAAAAATTATCTTTTTGAACTAATTTTTATTTCTAAGAGAATTTTAATAATTAATTATAAATAAATCTTTGAAATAAATTACCATTAAATCACCGAGAATTTTTTTTATTGTACAATTTCTTGAAATTTTTTATCCAATTAAAATTTTTTACAAGCCATCTAACCCATTGAGGTTTTTCATTGCATATGAAACAACAGTATTTATGAAACTAGATATTATTTCTAATTAATACATTTGCAAGAAATGTTTTGTAAGTTTTAGTTTGAATATTTTAACTTTTGAAATATAATTCCTCCTTAAACATTTTACATATTTTAAAGACAAATGTATTGGAGATATCAATATTGGGGACATTTCAAGACTATTGATTCTTGCCTTTGCCAAAACTAATTTGCTTTTGTTCATTTTACAATGTCATACTAGTGTGTCATGTTTCATTTGGCTAAAAGAGTCTAATATAAAAAAGTTTCTTTCACCTTTGAGCTTTTACTTGAATATTATGATAAAAATTTGTTTTCCCCATACTTTGCACTGCTAGAAAACATATGATATCATTTTTTTCACAAGTTAATTTCATTTGAAGGATGTAAATTTATCACCTCTTCGACCAATGAAACAGTATATTTATAACTGAACAACGTATTAGAACGTATCAGTTTCAATAAAAATAAATTTCAGTCCTCTAGCCAGTGATCTTATAGATGAATAATGTATATTTTCTTCCAAAATCGGAAAAAGAGCTCTTTTTATGATATCAGTATGAATTTTCTGAATTTTTTTGAATTTTGCTAAATTATACCTTTCCTCCAAAAATTTATCTTGCCAGTCTTTTCATGATTACTATATTTTGTCCATAGTTCTTAAAAGTTTCAAGAGGGATAGACAGGCCCGTGACTCCCCGGTGATGATGTGGAGGAATGATTGTGCTTTTTGTTAGTGATGTTTCACAAAAACTCACAAGAGGAGCTTCAACATCACCGGGCCGCTCATGATATCGCCTTCTATTGTATTCAAAAGTCTATGCTTCCAAGTAAGTTCCAATAACGAGGGTAGTCTCTTCTCTGGAAAAAATCACTCAGACAAAGCTCTCAAGCATAGCAGTTAAGTCCTTTCTTGAAGTCTTTTGGAATTCACCAAGTACTGAAGTTGGAGCAAAATCTCCGCAACGTTGTCATTCTCTCTTCCACTTAAAGATTCCAGAAGCATTGACGAAGAATACTGTCCCTTAGCATCCTTGTGTATAGCAATCTGAGGTTCAAAGTTTCCCTGTGATATGCAGGTTTCTTGACAATCAAAGTTTGACTAACAACTTCATTTGTATGGAGTTGAATGGATCTCACTTTCCTCTGTTCCTTGGTAATCCTTCACCATATAGTGAATATACTCACCATAGGGTAGTTGGACAAATCGAGCTTTAACAGGATGATGAAACTAGAAGGTGCTATGTGTTCACCTTAGTTAGACCTCAGTTCATGAGACCCAAAGAGGCAATTTATGTGAGGATCAGTAACTCCGAATGGGTGGTATTGATATAACATAAAATAGATGATGTAGTGAGGGAGATCTGGATCAAGTAATCTAGAGTCTGGTTAACACCACCATGTACATGTCTATGACAAGTATAAGCACCTCGTCATCTGTCATCGATGGCATGCAAGTTCATTTCGAACCAAAGTCGAAGATTGAAAGGTTTACAAAAGGTACAGGGCTTGCTGCATTCCAATTCAAGGAAGAACTGAACATAGTCCTGCCCTTCGGCCACATACGGGTCCGTTTATGTACCGCAACGGTGTAAGCTTGCAGGAACTTTCAGCTTTTAGCGTAGATGGCAGAACACGGGTGGGTTTCAGGTGGCTTGTATAAGTAATTTACTAATGTTGAAACTTCGGAAGGACATTTTTAGATATTAAGGACTTGGATATTGGCCACAAGTAGCAGAATCGTTAAACTAACGAGTCAGCATTTAATTTTTTGTAGCGCACAAGGTGATTGTAGGTAGGCGGGTATCGTGGTGCTTACATGATGAGTCACAGTTTTAGCAATTTTTCAAATCTTCAGATCTGGCCTTCATGTGGAGATTGATGTGCTTGAAATGCACATCCGAAGTGCTGAGATTGCTCACCCCTCCAAATCAGCAGTGTAGCTCAGAGGAAGTAAATTCAGCACACTAAGCATACAAAGCGCTATGACTGGCTTCATTTACTCAAACGCACATGCATGACTACTTGTGTCTAGCGATCGCATAGAACATGCTTTTTTTGTTAGACAATTCTTGGCGTTTTCTGATGTACAGCAAAGATTGTTGACTCTGTTGAACAAAAGGAAATTAGCTGAGACCCACAGTGGTGCATCATCTCTGTGAGAAGAATTAAAGAACGAAGATTCTACTCAGGAAGCCGATCTCAGGAATATCTGAGGGTATTCAAAAGGAAGCAAGCACGTCTGAGATTTCGAAGCCTTGGTCCAAGGATCTATAGCAGACTCGTCGGAGTTTTACCTCTTCAACGTCTTCGTCTCCCTGTGCTCTGAATCCCAGTAGACTTGTTCAATGTCACTTCATCGATCTGCTCCTTGCATCGCGATACACAGCTCGCTTCCCTGCACAAAGCTCAGCAGTTGCACTGCATGTTTTATACTGCAGATTGCAGCACTTCAGTAAAAGTGTAAATGTTTACATGAATCCAGATTGAGAGACGATGGTTCATGTCCCCAATTCTGTGACAGGGAAATGCTGAACTCATTAGAAGTTGATTCGAGTCGAGGTGCGTAGACAGTAGACGTCGCAATTGCTAGACATGGCCGGGTTTCAGAGCAAAGTGCTACCGCTTTTGAATGCGTCGTTGGCTGTGTTCATACTGTTCGTGATCTTCAATTATCTGCGCATGGATTTTGCTCTAGTCGAAGGGAATGAAGCCTTGGAGAGACAATACAGGGCGCAGACGGTGACATACAAAAGGCAAGATGGTGGATTGGGCAGACTGCAGGTTCTAACATTGGGCAGCTCCGTCAACCCATCCAAGGAACTACCAACAGCAGAGGAGAAAGAAGAAGATCAGGAGTTCGAAGATTCTTCCATTTCCGAAGAGTTGGTGGCAGAATCCATCAAGAGGTTCTTGAAGGACCAGATGGAGAGCAACTTGTTGAAGGATCAGGACGCCTGGCTGAAGCAAATTTGGCAAACAGGAGCAGGCAAACACATCTCCGTTCTCCAATCTTCAACGCAGGAGTTGCTGAGGCAGGTGCTCCTCGAGCTTCAAAAGCTGGAGCGGACTTTCAAAGCCAAACAGTTGGGACAAGAGGACGACGAGGAGGACGACAGCTTGACTCAAGTGTCGAGATACTCGGCATTGCGCAACGAAGACCAAGCAGAGCTCGGAGAATTCAAGTTCAGAGAATACGGCCGTGTCTGCCAGCTGGTGGTTCTCAGCTCCTACAGATCTTCCTTAAAGGAATTTACAGTCGTGACTCTAAGCCCCAGTGTCCAGCCGGGAGCTGAAGGCCCGGTTCACGACAGTTGTGTCTGGCTTCCGGATGGGAGAGCTCCAGTCTCCCAGAAATTTTCCTCCCTCGATGAAATGATTCTATCAGGGAGGTATCCAGATCGAGAAGGTATCGTGGATCTTAGATACGTGGAAAACTCGCATGGGCGAATCTACGATACATTGGTCGTGCGGTGCTCGTTTCCTGAGGCAGTGGGAATTGAGAGAGAGGGCGGATTTCTCTACCTCAATATGTCGGCGTCCCCGGGTTCAAAATCCTTCGAGCTCATCCCCGTGTTCCATGAAAGACCTCGGCAGCTGAAGGACAGCACGTACGAGAGGACGAGTTTCCAGTACCAGTATGCCTACTGCTCTGCTCCAGTTTGGACGAATTCCAGCGCTTCACACATCAAGCAATGGTTCATGTACCACCACACTCTGACGGGCGGCAGTATCCACTACTACATCTACGACACGACGGGAATCGACGACGAAACCATGGCAGTGCTCAAGCCCTTGATGGACATGGGTTACCTGACGTTCGTCAACCTGCACAGGCAGAGACTGTACGATGCATGGGCTAACACTGAGGACCTCATCATCAACGACTGCCTGAATCGGGTCCGATTTGTCGCAAAATGGGCTCTGTTCTGGGATTTCGATGAGTATCTGCACGTGGCTTCTCCACTGTCTCTGTCTACCTTGCTTGCGCAAGCTGAGGAGAGAGCTGCTCCTTGGGTTTCGTTCGGTAACATGTTCTACAATCGCAAGTATTGTGCCCCGGAGTCGGAAGGCGGGGACTGGGCTGTGGAGAGGATGGTGTACAGACTGGAATCGCCCGTCTGTGGTCAGAAGAACATCAGTCATGTTTGCCCAGGAGAGATGGGGCACCGTAAGTGGATAGCCAATCCGAGAATGGTGAAGGTTGGGTCGATTTACAGAGCGGTCGATCCTCAGAAGAACGGGATCATTCTAGACACTGACGTTGCCAGGATCAATCACTACAGAGGAATAGCCACTAAAGCTCCAGACTCCGATGAAGTTGACTGCTCGATTATCAAAGACCCCACTCTTGTCAAGGAAAATGACACCGTTGACGGATGGTGGTTCAAAGATGAAGAATTTTCCACTTTTGCTGGTTCGTTGAAAACCAGTGCAAAGAGCTTCGATGTGTTCCAAGCCCCACGTCAAGATAGCTGAGGAAATAAGGCACTGCTACTGATCTCACATTATTATCAGTGCCTTGAAAGTGGGAACAATTCATCATTCTTTCGCTCAATTCATTTATTTAACGAGGTTAGGAGCATAATTCCAGAGTTAAAAACTCAATTGTTAGCCAGCTTTAGAGTGTGAGATCAGTACTCACGCTTGTATATTAATACGAACACTTCCAAACAATTCATACTCCCCGAATCCAATGCAGCAAATGCAAGGTTTTTGGCAAAGTTTCCATGCTGTAACTGGAAGTCCGTCAAGGTGCCCTTTAATTAGGGGCCTTTGTTTCATCATCTGCGATCCCATCATATGTGATTCTTCTCGTACCATCGCTTTTCATGACACAAATGCAGCAGCTCCGTGGTGCGAATGTCTATCCATGATCCAATGCCACATGCACAGACAAACGTCACTCGCAGTACATCAGTGTGTGCAGCATATGAATGAAGCCAGAATGTCTCGTAGAGGACTGACCACCATGCTGGTCAGTTAGCCACCACCAGCCTTGTCTTGATGCGAGTTAATATTCAAGGCGTTAACCACCGGAGGTTGTTCATGTGCGGCCCTCGGATGGCAAGCTGAACGTGTTGACCTTCGGGGAATTTGCCACCTTTTGCTCCCCGTCTTCCGATTGAGGAATGAGAACGTCGAGAGAAAACCGGGCTGCGGAAGTTGGCAGCAGGTACATGCATGTCATGGAAGGGCCTCCATCTTTGTCAAGGCCCACTGGGCAAGACCACAGTCGCATAGAGTACTTACTGGTCACAAGGGATCATGGGACTTGAGAGCCCCTTGAGTGCAGGATTTGAGCTTAGGTCCAGATACAAAGCCTGCACTCATATCGGGTGGGCACGTAATAGTTATGGCAGACCCACAGTTCCTGGGCAGCTGAAAATTGCCACGTGCACATGGGATCGATGCAGTGACAAATTACCATACGGTCCGGCATGAAAAAGGACCGCACGCTGTTTGCAATGTCGGAATCTTTTCAGTAGACGAGAGCAAGCAGAATCGTGATCGCGGTCGCTGGATAGAGCGCTACAGAACCGGTAATAGTGCCTGCCCTCAGGTGCTGAAAGTGTAGTTGCATCGTGCGTCTTGAATCATTCTTCATTCTCGGCCTCTTCATTTGCGTGCAGAAGACTGTTCCAATTACGGCGAATGACCATATTACTAAAAGCCATGGTGGCGGTAGAGTTTCGTAGCGCCTGGACGTGTTATATTCTTCTGCATGGACGGCAGAATCGAGAACACCGTACGTTAGTTTTGATCGAAAACTCTGTGTTAGTGAACTCCTGAAGGCCCGTGTTTTTTGCACACGTAGCCTCAATGTTCTCGTCGGAGTCACCGGGAGATTGCTGTGTCACTCGCACATGATCTGCTCGACCTTGTCACTTTGATCATCAATATCCGTCATTTGCCATTATCTTTGATTAATATTTTCTGCACCGTGGAGCCTGTGTAGCAAGAGCGAAATTAGTAAGAACTTCGTTTGACACGCATCAGATTTTAGCAGGTTCCTTCTGTTGAAGAGGTGAAGTTTCTTTTGCTGACAGGAGCTGGAAGTCTGGCACGTTATGCGCCATGGTGTCTCAGAGAGGAAGTTGAAGGCTTACTGCTCCTCCCGAGTAATATGACCTCTTTCCATGTTCGCTCTCACCTTTGTTGCTGACACTGCAAGGGCAAAATCGCAACATCTCAAATCTCGTATGTTCCATCTAACGTATCCAACGATCTGAGGTGAAGGACTGCTTCTGCTCTCGCCCAGATATCATAGCACGTATTTGGATCAATACTGGTAGTTACCCCCACAGCATGAAAGAGTTTGAGTGCCTGAGCTCAACCATACTCAGAAGTCCTCACCGAGACCAAGTCTTCTCAGATCCTTGCAGTTGGCAGCATCTTATGAACAGGTCTAGTCCTTGGGCATGGGTAGAGACCATACAATTTTGCTCTTAGAGAAGCAACGACTAACATGCGTACCAACTTCTATTCATCAAGCTCGCACTAATACGCACTGGTACTAAGTTGTTGCCACATTCTGAAGCTTTGAAGAGAATTAGACCTCCGGCAGTAATGGTCGAACCAGACGGTTGTCTCTCTTAGAAGGTTAGTTGCATGCCACTATCCGTATCAAATAAGTGAAACACGGTACCTTCTATCTTTTCAAAGGCCAATCAATCAAACTCTGAATGTCTGATTAAGGGCCACGAGCAAATTCTGTAACCAAATGGATCTTGCTAGAGAGAGCTGTAGAGATAAGAGGTAAATCTTTTCTTTCGTTCTTCTGATAAACCAAAGATCGAAGGCCAAATGTTGAGCTTTGGACTAATGCTAGCGAACAGATTTTTGCATCGACCCATGGAGATGCTGTCGTTCTTGCCACATGCGAGACATGTGGCCTTAAAACATCTCCGTTGCAAGGCTTGCTACGGGCCATCCGAGAATCTGAGACAAAACATGTCCGACGATACAGTGATCTGTCTGCAGAAAGGAGGAACCATTACTCCCTATCAATCAAGCTCGATTCGAGTGATTCATGGAATCACTAACAAGCCGAACGAATCGGCATCTAAGACAAACTGAATGTCTCCAAATTGCAGGCACTTTTGTGAACACACATGCTTTCTGGATACCTACCACAAATATCGCAGTGTGCTCTAGTTCGTGCGTCCAACGTAATAATGTATGTCTGCACAGGGGACAAGGGATGGATGATTATATCGACCACTTTCTCGATTTGGAACTAAATTCAACTCCACACTCTGATATAGACACTTGAAATTATATGAAAGGCACAAACCATGTGGTTGTCATTGCAACTGATTCTAGAATTATTAAGTAAGAAAGTTAATACGGGAATTGTACATGGTGTAATTTAGTTTCTGATTTCTTGTATCATATTTTGATACTTAATAGATATTTTGAGTTAATAGCGACCATTAAGCTCTTTAAAGTTAGACTTTATTTTCTTGGTTGAGAATCTACTTTATAACTTGCATAATTCCAGTTTCTTAGAAGTATCAACTGTGACTAAAATAAATGAAGAATGAATCAAAGACACGGTGGAATAACTGCGTAGGTGAAAGGTTCTATCCAAGACTCATAAATTCTGGTATTTTGCTACAATGGTCGCTAGCAAAATACCAGAATTAACCAAAAAAAAACTTTGACGCGTCCATAACTTAAGTACAACTTTACGCAGATTACAGTAATTATTATGGACCAGACTAATTTTGAAAGTGAGTTTTTGTGATGCCAACCATAGATTAATCTGGATCAGACTATTTAGTGATTCAGATTATTTGTTTGCTTCAAAAAACAATATGTACCAGACTAATTAGGAATATTCCAAAATAGTATGGATCAGAGAAATAAGTTCGAGAAACACCAAGAGTGAAGTTATTTTTTATTATGCGTATTCCATCAAGGCCCTCTCATTTTCAAATCGGGGACGATTTCTTCATCAAAGTGGTTGCGATGTTTCATAATGATCGCCTAAAACTCCGGCATTAATTGTTTGATATGCCATTCTCACATCGAGTGCCAACCCACAAGGAATCATGACTTTTCGAGCACAGGGGAGGCCGTGAGCATCGCGTTGCATGTTTACAACCCTAACAGAATTCGCTGCCAACTGCAAAAAGAATCTTTTCCCCGGGTTCAGCAGCTTGCTTGACCATCCGCCATCGCGGAAAACTCCATTTGACCGCTGATGTTCTCAGATCATCTCCATCTTCTTGCTCTCCCATCATTTTGTCCAAGCATCCTTGATCTCGGAAATAACAAAAGAATCTGCCGGCTGAACCTTGTCAGTAGCACATGGAGGGAAGAACCAAAGGGTTCTTTTGGTTCTAGTCAGCGCAACCGACAACGCATCTGATTCATTGTGACCTCTGCAATTGACCAGGAATAATAACTTTTGTCTCCCGTAGCGATCAGGTTGAAACGCGCGGGGTGGTTCAGAGAGCTATTGCGGGAATACCTGCATATTATTCCATCCTTTCGGCCCTATGCGATAGCTTGCACCTAACACATCATATGATAAACCTTGAATCGGATAGGATCTATTCTTGTTCGTGAAGATGATCATCGGAGCCTCCAAATGTGAGGATACTCCCCCTGTAATGCGGACCATCATGGTCATATACTCTCCTCCAGAAACAACATTAGCGTATTTGACATCGTTGTCTCTCCGAATTCCTAGGGTCCGATCATTGTCAACATTCACCATGAAATGAATCTCGTCCATATTTTCGATTAGGGTTTCATCCAACTCGCCAGATGAACATCCTCTAAATAGTTCGCCAAGTGTTACGCGATGATATTCACAACATGAAGTTCTTTCTCTAGACTACATAGCAGCTTTCTTGTCTGTGCGCGCACGACCACGTTGTTTTTTGCCATGAATGTTTGAACCCAACTTGTCATAATTTTGTCGAGAATCAGTTTGTCGTCTGCATCTTTGGAATCCGCATTGAACTCTCCTTCATTTGATTTGATAATGTCTCTAGCTAGAGTGCCAAGCAGGGCTGTTGAGAACTTTAGCCCCGTTTTTCACAGTCGTTGGAACTCCTCATTGAGTTCTACATACATGTGAACCATCCAATCTCTTGTCTTACGGCCACAACTTGCCACCGCTTTGAAATTCATTATCGTAGCTTTGAAATGATGATTCCTATGCAAAGACTCGGGATGCTCACTTACCTTTGAGTACTAATCTTTCAGTTTCCACCATGACGACACTTTTTGGATATTTGCCTTGTAGTATTCACGGAAAAGATGCAAAAAGTTTGCCGTTGCTTTGGCGAAAAGATCCTTCTTGCTGTTGGAATTACATTCTTGCATCATTCAAAGAACTACCACACGGTGATTCCCAATAGAATCCACTTTGTGTAGCTTTCTTTTTCGCTGCGTGTCTGCCTTAGAGAATTCCTCCTGATGAGCATCTTTCACATGACTTTTTCCTGATAAACTGCATCTTCTTCCAGATTAACGATCATCTCTCGAGAAGCTTGAGAGCTAGTGAAACCAGCTATAATAGGAGAGAATGAAAACACAACATCAAATTGTAAAAAGCGCAAAAAACCGCCAGGGCAGATGCAGCGTTGGACTATCGCCTATCAGTCTTAAGTGCGAAATACGCGTGGTGTGTAGTTTGGATCAAAATAGGTAAGTGCTCATGTGATTTATA